AAAGAAGTAATTGGTACATTCTATGATCTTAAAATATTTCCCTAAATGCAGGATGGTGCCTCAGAGGAAAGTAGGGGTGAATAGATCAAGCTAATGAGGGAGGAGTATTGGGAGCTGGTTGGGAAAGAAGGCCAAGAATTCTGACATGATCTGAGATGTCCATGAGCAGTTGGTATGAGAAGAATCAGCTGGTAGAAAAGGCAAGTTAGACAATGACATTGGGTTTGGGTGGTCAGACACATAGGAGTCATCCTCCACACCCCAGCATTTAACCCCTCACCAGGTCCTGCTTTACCTCCTAAACGTCTCTTGGGTCAGAGCACTATTTTAAATATCCTGTATCACCAACCAAGTGTAAAACTACCATCATCTTTCTCCTTGAATCCAGATCTATTCTTATCTATCTTCATCTGTCTCCTCTAGTCCATCTCCACATTGCAGTGAGTGTTCTTTTCAAACTGAAAATAGGATCCTGTCTCTTCCTTGCATAAAAGCGTACAATGTTTTTCCACTTCTTCCAGGATAAAAACTAAATCCTGAGCACACCAACAAAGCCCTGCTCTAGGATGTGCCCCAGTCCACCTCTCTGCCTCATCTCAGGCCTGCTTTCTGCTTGCACTCAGCAGCCCAGCAGTACCTGCCTACTCTCATTCCTGGAGCATGCCTTATAGTCTTCCACCCTGGGGCCTTTGCGCATGCTCCTCCCTCTGCTGTACTACTCTCTTGCACATTTAATTATGCTCAGTCCTTCAGAGTAGAGGTTGAGCGCCACATCCTCCGAGGACAGACATCCTCTGGGTCAGAGTCCTTGGTCCATAATTGTTGTGGGACTGTGTGGCTCCTCTTCTGAGCATCTCACTCAATTTGTAGTTATGCCCTCACTGATGTCTAAATTCCCACTGGACTGCCAGTTCCATTTGTGCTCACTGCTAGCAGCATATGGAAGATACTCAGTAAACATTTGCTGAATGAATGGATCTAGGGAGCAGAGCTATCTCCTGGAAGAAGATACAAAATTAAGAGTAGAATGGTTGTGTTGTTTTATTTTGTTCTCAAAGGAAATAAAATACTTAGAAAAAGTGTAAAACTACTCTCAGATGATTTGGTTGTAGAGTGATATGAAGACCTTTCCACTGGATGGATTGAACTGAAAGGATAAATAGCTTTGGCTTCACCACATGTAGTTCTAGTTGGGACTAAAAGTTAGAATTTCAGGTTAAGAGGAATAAGTACAGAAAAGTGCCCTAAAGTTTTGGCAGTCAAGACACTGCTGCTTTCTCTGATAAATTGAATTTCTGTGGCCTGAGGAAGGCAGGACCCAGACTAAAGAGGGTCCAATATACACGGTCATTTCCTAAAGCTTGGAGAGTAAGAGGAGAGAGGTGGGGGCAACAGAAATACAACTCAGAAATAAACAAAGGGTACATTTATTTGAGTGAAAAATTTTTAAAGAGCCTTGAAAACCACAGGAGCTCCTCAAGATATTTATGTAATTGAATATAATTTATCAGGGATTGAGAGGAATAATAATCAAAACATTTTTCACTTAAGTGCATCTGGAGGCATATGAAATTAGACTCTTGGTGGCCTATGCTTGGCTGTCTCCTTGGTGTTTTGTCTTTAGGCTGCAGGCTGGAAATGTCTAGAGCAGACATGGAGCACAAAATATTAAATGAGATTTACTGTATTCAAAATGCCCAACAGTGTAGCATCTTCCTTGTTTGGCAGGGAAAGGGCTCAGCATTTGGAAACTCAGCAGTGCATTAAGTATTTTAATAATCATTGTTGACACACAAAGCATATGGCCTTTCAGAACTCACTGGGTCAAGTGTTGAGTTGTCTTTTAGGTTTCTAAAATTACCTTACAGAATTCAAACAAAATTAAATTAGGGCATATTTCAAAATATATTAACTCATGAGTTTTGTGTTATAAGCAAATGAAATAAGTTTTCTCCTAGGATGTAAGAGTATCTACGAGTAACTGATTATATTACTATAAAGGAAAAAGCAAAATTCACAGCCCTCAAAAAATTGATTTGTATTTCATTAGAAAATGTAGAAGCTCCATATAAGTATGCCAATCTTATGGATACTTATATTCATATTTCTTTGTACCTCCTAGTTATGCTGTAAGACCCGCCTCCTCTCAGAAGCCTTCCTTATCTGTTTCCTTATGGTTTAGATCAACAATCTCTGGCCACAATAATGCTGTGAAATAAGCAACCATAACACTCAACGACTTCGAACAATGAGCATTTCTTATTGCTCACAGGCTATGGGTCAGCAGGGCCATTCTGGTCTTTGTGGGCTCACGTATGTGTTTCTGGCCAAAGACTGATCTGTTGGGACCTCTGGTCTCTCCTCATGTCTCTCATGTGCACGTTTCTCATCCCCTCCAGCTGGCCAGCCTGGGCATATTCTCATGGCCATGTCAGAGAAGCCAGAGCAAAAGTGGAAACATGCTAGCATTTTTTTCAAGCTTCCAGTTTCAGTATGTTTGTTAATATTCCGTTGACCAAAGCAAGTCACATGGCCAAGCCAGAGGAGGAACAGGAGGACACTACAGAATTACAGGGCAGAGTGTGGGGATACAGGGAGGCCATAAGCTGGGGCTCAATGCCATCATCCTACAACCCACCCCCATCCTACCCCACTGCCAGCATTAATCCTTTTTTTGTCTATGCTATCTCTGTTCCTCATTCTTAATTCTATGGTTATATTTTCCCCGATGTATTATATTAATAATATAGTTGCTAACTTGTATGTTCTCTCTAAAAGGTTAAGGGGTCCTTATGCTTCTTCACATTCTTTCATACATATTTAGTGACCACCTGTTATGTGTCTTAACAGACACCCCGGTTCCTAGCACTGGTTCTGACCCATAATAGCTGCTCAGTAAACATTTGTTGAATCAATGTGCACGTGAAAGCTCGCAACCCGCATGTATTTCCTTCCCCTTCAGAGGAAAAGGCTGAGGACAGATATCTTTCAGGATCCCAGTTGAGGAGGCCTTCCTGGCCTAGGCAACTGGTGACCCACTGGGGGACCTGCAGTGAGATTTCAGCTACCAAATGTCTTCCTTCCAGACTCCCCCACATGCCCCTTTCAAAGCTCAGGTTTTCATTTTCTGTCTCCCTGGTCCTCTCAAAGGAAGGCAGAAAATCACAGACACTTAACTCATCCTAGACTGTTTTTTTAGTCAGAGCTCCCAAGTAGCTTAAACTACCGGCTGTTTGCTATACAGTGAAGAAGGTCCAGCTCGTGGTATGGTCAGTTTGAGAGGAACTGGATGGCTGCTACTCTTTAATCTTTCCAGCTCTGTAGACCAAGATTACAGAGGAATTCTTGGGAAATTTTTTAGGCAGCTATAAACACAAGATTCTATTCATACAGGGTATTAGTTCTATCAATGTGGTGTTAAATGTACTGCCTCATTATTTTCCAATTCCATAGGCTTCTACAGGGAAAACTTGTGTTTCTGGGTAGAATCGTAATTTTGAGCTTCTTGATTTTCCAGTGAGTAGTGTAAGTTGCTTGCGAGGCAGGCTAATTTAGAATGCCAGCCCTGCCCACAAGTTACTTGGCCCAGTGAATTCTCCCAACCCTCATCAGTAAGAGACAGTGATGACAGCAGCCAAAATAGAATAATGCTGGCACGTGATAAGTAAATTGTGTCAATTACTAGATTTGCTATTATAATATAATGCCCTATAATTTTATATGTTGGTATTATTAGTCATAAAAAATTAATGTAGTTCATATCAAATAATCTACATATTTATTTTTGTTAGAAAATAAAATCATTCTTAAGCCACTTTAAAGATTATACTTTAAATGCATTCAAGTACCTTACCTTTTGAAATGGCAGGAAAAATTCTTCATTCATTCAACAAATACATATTCAGTACCCGGTTGCCAAGTAATGTACTAGTGAACAAGGTAGACATTGTCCATGCCCTCCTGGTACCCTAGGATGAAGGAGCTATGGGTAATAAATCAGTGTTACTTCCAGCTCTCAATAACCTACCTAGTATCCACAACTTTGTCCATTATCTGAGATCAATTAATATTTGAGCTCACCAGGTTGAATACATTAAATATGTAGCTTCATATATGTCAATCATACTTCAATAAAGTGGTTTTTTTTAAAAAAAAATTGGCTGGTTTTCCCTGGCCAAAATATGATGTGGTGACACTTTAGATTGGAGAAAGGGGAAATTTTGACTTTACAATTTTTAATGCAGCTGTATCAAATTTTAAAATTTCCTATTTTATTATTAAATAATGCATAGAATAGACATTTCTGAATCTTTCCCTCACCTTCGCTCCATCCCTGGATTACTGCATGGTTCAGGATGGATGGAGGATTGCTAGTATACGTTACTCAGTGGTAAAAGGTTGAAAGTTTATCGGTGGGGATAGTTTTTTTAGGCGGTGTCAAAATCCCCTCATATGAGATCTTAGAATGGATCCTGAATCAGAAAAAGGACATTAGTGGGAAAACTGGTGGAAAGTACAGTCTATAGGTTAGTAAATAGCATTGTGTTAATGTAAGTTTCTTTGTTTTACAAACATACCTTGCTATGTAATATGTCAACATTAGGGGAAGCTGAGTGAAGAGTATACAGGAACTCAGCTTTCAAGGACTATAGGAAAACAGTGGAGCAAAGGTTATTCCTTTGCCACCCTGCATATCCCCAGACTTCTCCCAGCTACGCGCAGTTTGTGAATGCCTTAAGAAGAAAGGAATTATAACATTAGACTAAGAAAAGTGTAATTAAGATTGTAAGTCTGCTGTAAAATCACAATGTTTGGTATTCTTCGTTTAGGTCCTTTGGAAGTAGAGAATGGATGTTGTAGGATCTTCTCAGGTGCCTGAAATTGTCAAAAGTGTTTTCCTATATGAAAGAGAAAAGGCCCACTATTGATCTCTTCTCACCTGCAAATTTTAACTGCTTGAAGAGTCTGAGTGATTCAGAGACTGCCCTTTACTTTCACAGGTACAATCACAAGTACGCCTTGCAAAAAAAAACTTTGATAAATTGAAGATGGATGTGTGTCAAAAAGTGGATCTTCTTGGAGCAAGCAGATGCAATCTCTTATCTCACATGCTAGCAACATACCAGGTAACAAAGTGACGTTTGTACAATGAACCAAGAATGGCGTGAGATTTTTTTTGTTTTTGTTTTTGTTTTTCCAGGAAATTATGGAGGTACTGTCATAAAAATTGTGTTTGTGCTGAAAGTGTGGTTTGGGCACTATGAAGTTCTGAGTGCTTTTTTCGTAATTTACTTCCCACATCTCCGCCTTTTAGCGTCCTATGGTTTAATCAAACCAAATAGTAGCTATTTCCTGTACATACACTGTAATTCCCCACTTCCCTGCATTTACTTAGGGCATTCCTTTTACCTGGAGTGTCTTTCTCCTCCATCTGTGCTTTTACAAATTCCACTCTTTTTGATGTAGCAGACCAATTGTCATGTCCTTCAGCAAGCCTCCTCTGAACTCACTTAGCACTAGGCCCATATGTCTCATGGCACACTTCCCTCATCAGGTTGCCATTATTCAATGCATTGTCTTTTGTCTCCCTGATAGCCTCTGCGTTCCTTCAGGATAGCACAGTGTCCATCAACAGTGCTATTGAGCACCAACTAGGGGTGGGACGCAGAAAGCGAGGTGTTGTAGGGAATATTAAAATGAAGAAGACCAGGTTCCCTGTCCTCAAGAAGCTCAAAGATTCGGGAGGAAGTTGGAGATAGTAAAGTCCGACTGTATTTTCTATACCCCTAGGACAGAACAGGGTGTGCTAAGTGAAATTAGCTCTAGGAAAGCCAATGAGGGTTTGAAGATGGAAAAATTGAATCAATTGAGGGATCACAAAAATAGATTGTTAATGATTAGCTCTGGGTTGTGGAGGGTGGATCAGATGAGACAAAGAGACTGGAGAGGAGGAAGTCACAGGTAGTGGGAGAAGCATAAGGCTCGGGAGGCAGTGTTTGGGGAAACCAGAGGCATTTAGCTTAGCTGAAATACAGGGTGTGAATGGGAAATGTAGGAGATGATCGAATCATATTTTAGAGGATGTTGAAAGCTACAGATGGTCACACTTCCCAGGGGCTCGTGACCAGAACTGGATATTCAGAACATTAATAGCTTTCCTGTCTTTCTTTACAGACTACTCTGCTTCATTTTTGGGAGAAAACTTCTCACACAATGGCAGCCATCCATGAGAGCTTCAAAGGTTATCAGCCTTATGAATTCACTACATTAAAGGTATGAAAGCTAGAGAGACTGTTAGAAAATCTTACGAAAAGTAAAGTTTTGTTTATATTATCACAAGCAAAGTCCATGGCAGCAAGCATCATTATTCCAAGACTCAAAATGCCAAAGAGAGAACTATGCCCCCAGCAGGGTCTTTTTACTGTGTCGGCATTCAGTACAATGATAATCCACTGCAATCCAAAAGCACAAACTGAACCTTGGGATTCATGTGACTGGGAGATGAATTGTGGTGAACTTGGGCCTAATGATTGGTCCTGCTCCTTTGAAATACTCGTTTTAGATTGGGCGCGGTGGCTCATGCGTATAATCCTAGCACTCTGGGAGGCTGAGGCAGGAAGATTGCTTGAGGTCAGGAGTTCGAGACCAGTCTGAGTAAGAGTGACACCCCATCTCTGCTAAAAATAGAAAAATTAGCTGGGCATCCTGGCACATGCCTGTAGTCCCAGCTACTCAGGAAACTGAGGCAAGAGGATGGCAGGAAGCTGAGCCCGGGAGTTTGAGGTTACAGTAAGCTACAATGATGCCACTGTACTCTGCCAAGGGCAACAGAATGAGACTCTGTTTCAATGAATGAATGAATGAATAAATAAATAAATGTAGTCATTTGACATTGCTAAAGAAAAGATTGCACAGGTCCCATATACTCAGTTAATTTTAATTATTAAATTCAAATATACTACCTTACGGAGGTGTCTTCCCTTTCTGCGTTACTTCTGAAAAATATCATTTTATTTTGAGAGTTTTATCCAACATAGAATTAGATTTCTCCACAAGATGACAATAATATTTTCTAATTGAAAAAGCAACTTTAAACTCCATGATTTTTCAACTCAGAAGGAATAAAAGCACAGTGTCTGATTCTCAGTGTTGAAACTGAATATAGAATTATTTTTCTCTGTAATGGTTACGGGGGGTGAATGCATATTGAGATAAGGAAGTGATTTGGGTTCCAAAAGGATTTTAAGAATGGTGAGAGAACAGTGGGTGCTTTGTTGCCAGGTCATATCTTTAAAAAAAAAAGACCAGGTACAAACTAGCTGAAGCTCATCTTGAAATTGCCTTGCTTCTTATTTTTCAAGCAGTTTGTACGTGTCTCATCGCCTTGCTTGTCAAAACATTAAAAACCTTTTTTTATTTTTGCCTTAAAATGCTTTTTTGATTTTGAGCTGTTTCTAATGTTACTGCATCTACAAAAGGGCTAAGACAGAAATGCTTTAAGACCCTGACCCTTAAATCGAAGGTCCCAAGAGGAGCCCAGGAGAGCCCACTCACCTTGTGATACACCTGGCCTGACTCCAGACAGGACACCTGGCATGGAGTTCGTGCCTCATAATCCCCTCCCAGTTGGTCACTTGCCCACTCATTGGCGCTTACTGACATGCTGCGTGGTGGACGCATTCAGAATATGCACAGTTTTGCTCTGTCAACTATAAGCGTTTGAGGGGAGGGGTCTTTTATTTCTTATGTATTCTCCTTTGTCCAAACGTTTTGCACACAGTGGGCCCTGGGCCCTGTCACACTGGTAATACTGCCGTTGTTGGTAGAGGCTGCATTTCTTCTCTGTGATTTACTGCTGTTTTCAGCACCTTAGGACACAGCCATCCCAATCAAGCAGATTGTTTTCCATTATAACTCACCCTATTCACAATTCTTATGTAGGCCTGAGTAAAATGCCACGGATTACTCTTTGCTAAGACAGAGGCTTTTAGGTTTTAGAGCATGAGTGTGCCTCAGGTTTTGTTTTATATACAGTGTCAAAGATTATCTGTCTTTTTGCAAGACAACTGTACATAACATAAATCAGCCAGGTGGCAGATGAAATGATACCTACCCCCAATACAATTGAAAAGAGCTTCAGGTTTGAGTTAATTGCATATAAAGTACAATGTGAATTCATGAAATTGATGTTGTGCCACAGCATGGAAGAACCCATATGTGTATCCCTGGCCTCCTGTGCTGAGGAAAATATGGCTCCTTAATTTTTGCCATGATATTTATCCTGCAGAGAGGATCAAGCTGATTATGTTAGAGGATTTCTGGGCAGAGAATGTAGTGAAAGTTTGATGGCCGTGGTTCAGGATATAATACAACTCTCCATTGCCATTTATATACTCAGAGCCTTCCTTAAATCATGGTTTAAGTCATAGTTCCTGGTTTAACTGTAATATAATGTTAGGAGGGATACATCTGTTAAGGTATAATGATGTTGTAGTAATATTGAGAATAAGTGTCCAGAACCCAACCAAATAAACTGGATTTTTATTGCCTCTCAAGAATGCCATTCATCTAGGCTTTCAACAATGACATGTTGTTTTATTAGAATCTCAAGCTGATCGCTAATTATTTTCTTTATGTGGACTCAAATCTGACATAATAGAATCCTGTTATTACACAGCTTATTATTACATAGATATAAGCACATCGCATTATCATATTATATGCTATAAAACAGAAAACGGAAACCATTAATACCTTATGTATTATGGTCAAATATGAGGATATTATTGGACTTCTCAACCCTCTTGCACCAATTATTTTTTAAATACATGCACTGTATTTATTGGATTTTTATTTTACCAAGTCATCTCTTAATGTACATCATTTTCTTCTGAATGGCACTGTATGTCGATGATGGATATTTTGAAATTTAAATAAATATTTTCACAATTAATTTGTTGTCTGGGTTTACCTAAGCAAATAGCCCCTGAAATGCCTTTTGGGACTCTGACTGGAAAGAAAACATTGTCTTTGGAGAGGGTTGCCAAACTCTGTTAATGAAAAGCAAGCCATTTGTTTTCTTTGCTTCGGGGTGTATTCTGAGTGTGTTGGTAATTGTGCCGTTGCAGCTGTATTTCCTGACTGTTAGTTTTATGCTTGATGAAGGATGATAATGTGTTAAACACTTGGTGCATCCTGTTTAGAGGGAAGAGTCTTATGCTGTAGAATAACAGGGATATAACTCATACCCCCAGAAGTTCAAAGTTTTACTTTTAATGAACCTTTCTCTAAGAAATAAGTAACAGTTCTTTTACAAAATAATTTTATTATAAAAATGAATTGAATCTTCACCTCATACAACTTGAAAAATATCCAAGTGACTATTGTGACATTTTGTGAATATCTTATGTGACAACAGCTATTGCTTTTTAACCCAGAACTAATATGATTATGTTGATTCTACTTTTATTGACATATTCCTTCACTAGTTTACTTTTATTATAATAAATAGATTTTTGTAGCATTTTAACGTTATGGGAAATTTAGCCTTGAAATTTAATATTACAAAAAATTTTTAATCTAGTAATTGTAACAGCTCAAATTTAAAACAGAGAGACTATCTTCTAAGAGGTTTCCAATGAAAGAAGCAATTCTCGGATTTTGTATTTTCAAACAGCAAAGATTTATTACTAACCGTATATATTTTGCATGAATTATCATTAATGTGTTAATTTTATATTGATTCTAAATCATCTGGGTATATCTTTCATATGGTAGAAACTACCAAGTCATGGGGATAGGAATGGAATGTTACTAGCCAGATCTTAAAAACATGGTCATTTTTTTAGAAAAAGTAATTTAGACTAAGAGTTTAAAACATTTTTTTAAAAACTAAGTAAAATTCTGTCTTGTTAGGAAAGCAATACCCATCTTAAACTGCCAGCCCTCAGATGTGGTTGTGTTTGCTTCATCCTTCCAGGAGGTCATTTACTTACACATTTCTCCCCAGATCCAGAACAGGCATTAGCCAAAAAAATAAAATAAAAAGCCTCCTGGAGTCAAGTGGCTTTTCCCTGGAAAATCTGACATTCTGTTTGTATCAGTGATCCTTTCCCCTGTCCGGCGCACTGGCAGCGGATGGGTCGGTGTCTTTATAGAGAAGTGAGCATTGGGCCCTTTGCAGCAGCAGACACGGCACACTCATCCAGGGACAGGTCGAGGGGAAGGCATGTCCTCCTGCATTGGTATTTCTAAAGAGATCAGAGTGGCTGTATTTAATGAAAATGGCTGGTAGCAAAGTATATTCCTGTGACATGCCCCACTCCAGTGTTTCGGGAGGGAAAGCCAGGTTTTTAACTTTACTCGTTATGTTCTCTGGTTATGTGATAAAGCAAAGCATGTAAAAGAACAAGCTCTGGAGCCAGTTTTAAATTTAGCTCTGCTGCGTTCCAGCCGTGTGATGGTGGTAGTGAGAGCGGTGAGGGTGGTCGGGATGGTGGGGGCAGTGTTGGTGGTGACAGTGGAAGGGGGGCTGGTGGTGGAAGAGAGGTAATGGTGGTGGTTGTGATGGTGGTCTAGATGGTTCTGGCAGCGGTGAGGATAGCGGCTGTGGTGAAGATTCCAGCAGTACCATAGTGCCGGTGATGGATGGATTTAGCAAGAGTTCTGTAGTGGATCCAGAAGACAGACATTCAGAGCGTCACTACAGGAGGGTTTGTTGAGGTTGCTAGGTTCAGTAACCCAGCTCAAGTTACTTCCTCACTCCCCGCTTCTATCCTAGACTATTAGTTTGGCATGAGTTTCACCGGCAAGGCTATGAATGGTGGTGGGATCAGAGGTCTGGCCAGACCTCTCTCAAGGCTCACCCAGCCCCATCCCTCCCTGGCTTCCGCAGACCTTCTGGCAGCTACGTTCCCAAACCCGTCCTTCAGCCCTGCTGACCTTGGCCTGGGCTCACACAATTCCCACCAGGGTTAGAAAAGGGCTGGGCAGCCCCGCAAGCGAGAAAGGCAAGAGGGCTTCCTGTCCCTGCAACGGGCTAATTCTCAAACATGCAGTGTGTCTTTGTAACTGGTTCTTGATCTGTGCCAAGATTCTAACTCTAAGGAAACCTGAATTTGAAAACGTAATTGTGAGCATGTTCAAAAATAACCGTTGAAACAGATGTGCCAATGTTTCCTCCTTTCTCTCTTGGGGTGTAGGTCTGAGCACTGTCATATGGAACATCATTCTGGAGACTGAAATGCTTCTAGCTTTCAAAATTCAAAAAACAT